TGAGAAGTGTATGGAAGCATTATTAAAAAGTTTGGTTTGTAAATAGGGGCAGATAATATAAGATATTTCTTCCTTCTGCCCCTTTTCAATCAAATTGTTTGGTGTTCATTTTTAAGCATGTTTTTTTGTTTATATATATATATATGTATATATATATATATATATATATATATATATATATATATATATATATATATATATATATATATATATATATATATATATATATATATATATATATATATAGAGAGAGAGAGAGAGAGAGAGAGAGAGAGAGAGAGAGAGAGAGAGAGAGAGAGAGAGAGAGAGAGAGAGAGAGAGAGAGAGAGAGAGAGAGAGAGAGAGAGAGAGAGAGAGAGAGAGAGAGAGAGAGAGAGAGAGAGAGATAGATATTTAACACTTTGAATGAAACAAATAAATAGAAAAATAATATCTCCACTGGGCATGTGGAGGTGTGCAAAATGAAGATACAGAATTTCCTTTAAAAGTTTGTTTTAATTAAAAACTAATTTAACATTTATTTTGACAGGCACAGCACTGTGTTTATGTTTACATCTACCAGCCACAAGAGGGCACCATTGAGGGTTGCCAGTCTGCTCAGCACAGCACTGTGGAAAATGGCAGACTCAGCAAGTCAAGAAGCTGCTTTTGAACCCAGACGACGTTCTAACGTTAAATTCTGTTGTGATGTAAACTTGCTAGTAAAAATTAGTCCTTACGCTGTACGATTCGTCAGTGGACATGGTGCTGGCTGGTCACTTCATGTCTCGGCAGCAAGCCTGACATCCCTACGTCTGGAAGCCTTGTTCTTTTGTTGCAATTACAACCTCCACACTGTAGATGTCGCTATGGTGTTCGTGTTCCCTATTCAACCTTTAAAAGGGCACATATTTATGTTTTGTTACTGTGAAAACATTAAAATTACATACGGGTAGGAAGCTGGGAAGTTTGTATTGAACCATGGAGGTAAAGATAAAACCAGGAAGTCTGCTATGTTAGATTTGCTGAGCGGCAAAAATAACTGAAAACTGCTCCTTTGCTCTTCAAGATTTCCTAAATGTGTTTGGGGGACTTTTAATTTACTTTAATGAAATCACTACATTCAGCTGATTAGTTGATCCAATGACACAAGATCATCAGCTCTTCACTATTAATTTTATCTAGTCACACTTTTGTCCCATCAAGTAACTAAATGATCTACATTCAGTTATATGGAAAACGAGAATACAAGAGATAAGATATGATAGGATGTAACAAACAAATATCCAGCTGCCTTCAACTGTGCTGTATAGCGGATTGAATGAATGAATGAATGAATGAATGACTATTGTCACTGTATGGTGAGCTAGATCAATAAAATTATGAGTAGGCCTACTTTGACTATGAGAGGCAATCTGTAAAAACATCACACACTACTACACTGTAAAAATAAAATGTTAAATTAACTTAACCAAGTTATGTCAACGGTTCCACTAAACCTACTGGATTTAATGTAGAGCAGGGCTATTCCATTCCAGGCCTTGAGGGCCGATATACAGCACATGTTGGTTTGAACTCTGCTTCAACACACCTGATTTCAATCAGCAATTAATTAACTGTTTTCTACAGAGCCTGATGAGCTGCTGCACGGGTGATTCAACCACTGAATCAAGTGTGTTGGAGCAGAGAAACCACTAAAATGTGCTGGGTACTGGCCCTCGATGGCCAGAATTGAACAGCCACTTTATGGGGTACACCTTGCTAGTACCAGGTTGGACCCCATTTTGCCTTCAGAACTGCCTTAATCCTTTGTGACATTCATTCAACACGGTACTGGAAACATTCCTCAGAGATTTTGATCCATGTTGACATGATAGCATCACGCAGTTGCTGCAGATTTGTTGGCTGCATCCATGATGCACATCTCCCGTTCCACCACATTCCAAAAGTTCTCTATCTATTGGATTGAGATCTGGTGACTGTGGAGGCCATCTGTGTATTGTCATGTTCAAGAAACCAGTCACATAAAGCAAGATTTATGAGACATTATCCTGCTGGAAGTAGCCATCAGATGGGTACACTGTGGTCATAAGGGGTGTATATGGTCAGCAACAATACTCAGGTAGGTTGCAGCGTTGAAACAATGATCAATTTGTACTAAGGGGCTCAAAGAAAATGTCCCCCACACCATCACCACCAGTCTGAACTGTTGATACAAGGCAGGATGGATCCATGCTTTCATGTTGTTGACGCCAAATTCTGACCCTACCATCTGAATGCTGCACCATAAACCCAGACTCATCAGACCAGGAAACATTTTTCCAATCTTCTATTGTCCAATTTTGGTGAGCCTGTGTGAGATCTTCTGCTGCTGCAGCCCATCTGCCTCAAGGTTCGACCTGTTGTGCGTTCAGAGATGCTCTTCTGTAACAAGTGGTTATGTACGTTATTGTTCCCTTTCTATCAGCTCATATCAGTCTGGCCATTCTCCTCTGACCTCTGGCATCAACAAGGCAATTTCGCCCACAGAACTGCTGCTCACTGGATGTTTTCCCTTTTTCGGGCCAGTCTCTGTAACCCCGGCTTTCCACCGGAGCCGTCAGCAGCACGTTACTGCAGCAGCACGTCTTGCTCGCGTAAACTGCTGCTTGGCCCTTCCCACGAGACGCGAAGCAGCAGGGGAACAGCTGTCACCGACCGAGCACGAAGTCACATGAGTGACTTCGTCAGTAAACACAACAACAAGCAGGAGAAAACTACAACATGGCTCCAAAAGGTTTGTGTTTTAGGTTCTGTCTGTTTTATAATCGCCAATACGGACCTGAAAAACCAAGGAGACCGCTAGCTAGGTGATAACTTCTCACGGGGACGCACATTTAGTAACTTTTTTTAAAAGTAAAGCAACCGGAAGGCAGTACGTTCTTTATTCTGAAAATCTCGGGAGCTTCTCTCCATTTCCGCGAATGATTTCCTGTCTTTCCTTCCCCAAAAATGTTGAACTTGACCCGTTTCAGAGGCGTCGCGCGTAGAAAATAGAACCGGCGCGTAAAGGCCGCGACATGCTGCTCCTGAGACGCAGCCGACTCGCGCTGCTGACGGCTCCAGTGGAAAAGGTTCTGTTGACCACAGCGGTTCCTATCAGCAGCTATGACGTGCTGCTGCAGTAACGTGCTGCTGACGGCTCCCGTGGAAAGCCGGGGTTAGACCTAGAGATGGTTGTGCGTGACGATCCCAGAAGATTCGCGTTTTCTGAAATTCTCAGACCAGCCCATCTGGCGCCAACAACCATGCCACTTTCAAAGTCACTTAAGCCACCTTTCTTCCCCATTCTGAAGCTCGGTTTGAACTGCAAGGGCTCATATTGACCATGTTTGCATGTCTAAATAGATTATAGATTGCCACCATGTTGGCTGATTATACCCAATAACGTGACCGTGAGACTACATTGTTATACTTTTTTGTGTTAAAAGGAAATGTTACTCTTTACATCTGAGCAACTAGGTTTAGTGAAACCAGGTGACATAACTTGGTTAAGAAAATTCAACGTTTTATTTTTTAGAGTGCATGTGCAGACATTTATAATGAAAATGGTGTCAGTTTGATCAAAGTTACATAAAAATCATAGTTTTTTGTTTTTTTACTTTTCTCTTCATAAAATATTTTTATGCCAAGTCCCTGGAATCATCCTGGATTAAGTCTTCCATATGCCACATGGTGTTTAATCTCAAAGAGACCTGACAACACTGTTTGTTACTCTCTCTCTCTCTCTGTGTGTGTGTGTGTGTGTGTGTGTGCGTGCGTGCGTGCGTGCGTGCGTGCGTGCCTGCCTGCCTGCCTGCCGTGTGTGTGTGTGTGTGTTTTCTGTTGATTCTTCCTTTTATTTTCCTTTTTAGGATTAGGGACTAAAACTACTTGGTGGGATTAAGATAAAATATCAGTCAGATTGGAGAACTCTTAGCTTTTCACACGCAGGCAGCTCTAATTTTTAAAAAATTCATGTTCATCAGGACTTTACTTTTACTTTTGTAGAAACTTTGGCGAAAACTCCCAAACGAACTTTTAAACGTCATAAAAAACAACTTAAAGAGCAAGTCACCCCTTACTAGAAACTTACTTCACTCCCACTTCATGTTTGAAAAATGCAACAAATGCTGCTGCCCAGCAGACTAAGAGGGCGGAGCCGCTAACAAACACACACACACACACACACAGGCTCACAATGGCATTGTGACATCATAATGTACCAGCTTACATCATAGCATACCTCTTAGCCAATAGCGGTGGTAGATTTAAATTCTAATACAGTGCAGAGTTTTTACCTGACAACAACGAGTTTTAGGCAGAATATTTAAAATTTAAGATGCACTGAAGTGCCAAATTATTGACTACACGTGTCTGCAGAACAATTAGACACTTGTTTACATAGTTTATCAGCAAAAAAAAGTTGATTTGGGGGTGACTTGCTCTTTAAAGAAGAAACTCATCACAACTCATTCATCCTTTATGGCTGCAATATTCATTTTGGAACACACATCTTTAGTCCAGCTGGTGAACATTTAAACTTTAAATGATTTGAGTCACCTTGTGTGTTATCTAGTTAATGTCTCAAATCAATCATATTCATTCATTTAGTTATTTGTTTTTTCTTCATAGTTCAGAAAACATGCAGATTACATGGCAGGTTGATCATTTAACCATCAGTGAGTAGCCTACTTTTTGGATAATAATTTTAAAAAATGTCGTTTTACTGAATGCTATTTAACATTTTTGTGGGTACATAATCAAACATTTCCAACAGAGTGAGTTTAATGAATTAAATAGGATTTGTTTATTTGGTTGATCTAAATGCGCATTGTGGAAATTTGACTTTTACGCATTTTCAGGAAAGTTCAAGCAGAAAGAAATGGCTGAATGAATGAAGCAATTGATGGAATAACTCCCTATAAATAAAAAAGTTTACTCGTGCGCTCTGGAAGAAGGTTCACTTCCAAACTGTCATCTCGGACCCGCACGGTTCCTACCTTGCCCGCTGCTTCCTGCTGACAGACACTCGGGGTCGTCGAGACTTTTCCGTTTCTTCGACATCAGAACAGCTGCTGATAACGTGAGACACCTTAAACCGGCAGGGTGTAGAACACATTCAACAGTCTGGGGTGCTGGGAGGAAATCTCAGCCGCATTCGTTCAGATCCCGCTTCTGTTTTGTTCCACTTTCTGCGCGCAAAATGACCAAACGGTGACCAGCCAAGCGTCTCATGGAGCCGATGTCTCCACTCCAACGAGATGGGTTTTTTTCTCCCAAGAGTAGCCAGAGCGTTTCTCTCTTCTTTTCGGATGAAATTAGTTGTAGCTGAAGTGACTTCTCTCGATCACGTGTCTCGCAGATTATAGTAGGCTACTTGAACTCTAATCTGATGGAAATTACGCACGGAGGGCAACTTGTTGATCCAAAGGAAATGAACTTTTATAAAAATGATTTCCGTCACTTTTCTTTTCAAAAACCATTTCTCAAAGCCACGAATACTACTTTTTCTTCTCATTTGCTTGGAAGCTGCTGGGCGACGTCAAACTCGTAGTGTCAGGAATGACGCACAGCCGACACAACGGGAACTCTCGGGCAGCTTCGGGAGTAAAAAAGCCGAATAATCTCACGACGCAGTCTCCCCATAGAAGTCCCTTTGGTGATCTCTCTGGTAAAAAAAAAAGGAAGCGTCCTCCCCAGCATGACGTGACGGATGAGTGCGCACATCTGCGCCGTTTCTTTTGCACCATCAGTCCAAAGGAAAGTAGAAAATGTGACTCATCTTGCACAAATCCAAGTGTGAGAGTGGCGCAAGCAAAACGCACAGGATTGTGTTGTGAGAACCAGTCTGGGACGGAATGGTTCCCTCTTTCTTTCACTTGCAGCAAAGCAACTTGAGCTTTGAATAAATGCAGCAGCCTTTGTGCGTACTACAAAGGAGGGAATGACGCCACTCGTCTGGCAGCGCTTCACTTCGGGAATTTTCTGACTTAATGATGCAGATTTGTTAGTTTTTATTTTTATTTTTGGGGGAACTATCCGGATGGAGAGAACTGCATAAACTGATTTTGAGATTATTTGTGTTTTGGACAATGCATTTTCCGGTCAGGAGAGTCGCGGCTGAGCGCCTGACACCTGCTATATTCACACTCCCAGGATCCATCTGGTTTCGTTCTGTCCAGCTCCTGCAGCTCGCGCCGTTTCACCTGTGCGTGCTTGGATGTCGGATATTTTTATACAAAAAAGGCAAACATATCGCAAATGCAGTTGCGTTAAAGCATCTGACGCTGGTATTTTCTGGAGGTAAACGACATTCTGTCTCTCCACCCCTCCTCCCACCCCTCATTCACTGCAGCTACTGACGTCAAAACACGCTTGCGTCAATGCTCCCTGCTTTGACTGAGAGCTTTTTTTTAATGGAATCATAATGGGATTATTAGGCTTAGAGAAATGCCCTGCCTCACTGGCTTTTGTGGATTTCATTTTTATAAATGTCCCATTTTCCTTTCTTGTTTGAGTTTTCTGCATAAGACATAAACTTGCCTCTTACAGCAAAAAGGAGAATATTTACACAATTTGACAATAAGGACATTTTATTTGCTCTTCATCAGAGATAAATCTTAACATATCAGATGAGAAGGAATCTGCAAAAAAAAAAAAAACAGCCAAACACAAAGCTTTAATCATCTTTCATTTTTCTGTTCCATCCTGCTTGTGGGATGATGTCCTTCTACCCTGACCTCCATCCCCCAGTGCTGAATGGGCTCTTGTGCCTCTTGGCTGGCTTAGCTGCACTTCTGTCGTAACACTCCTTTTTACAATTCACCATCTCCCAGTTGTAACACAACCGTGTCACACACCCCAGATCACTCACACGCTGACGTTTTTACAGACTTGAATGATGCTGGGTTGCAAAACTCAGAGCTGCGTCCAGGACTTTTAAAATGGGGTGGCCCATGTGGGGCACTTGTTTTTTCATGGGTGGCACCAATGGTTATGCTTATTTATTTATTTACACAAATCGTTTATTTATTTATTTACTTTCTAGTGAATTTTTGAGTTTCACATTGCACAATCATCATTTTTTCCCCTCTTCATCTTCTACTTTTGTGGTGGTTAGCAAGTCACTTCTTGTTGCATTACTGCCACCAACTGGAGTTGAGTGGGACTCTAAATACTATGTATGTGAATGTGAAAAAATATTAAATACTACATGCCTGGGCTAGAAAACAAGGTGAAAGGTGCATGCAACCCATAGACTGTATACTGGACAATCGATTCCATAGGCTCCAATAACACGTTTTTTGTCTGAAATGGGAGATGGCCACCACCGCCATTTTGACCGTGTCACAGGTTCCGTCCAGCCCAGACAATTCCATAAAAGGGAAGAGAGGAGGAGCTGAGGGTGGGGCTGTAAGGCTGTGATTGACTGACGACACCCGGGCGAACTAGCTACAAGCTAACCCTGGCTAACCCAAAGCTAACGAGGAGGTGGGAGCCGAGCTAACGGATGTAGCCACCTAGCTTCAACCCAACCGGAGCTAACTGTGGAACACCCATCGACCTGAATCTCACACGAAATTTAGGTGAAGGTTTTCGGCGCCTGTTCGTGAGAAGTACCTGGATTAAAAAAGTATTAAATCGGTAAGTTTATAATTTATTTCCGTAATGAAAACATTTTGCTTTCAGCAAGTTTTCAGTACCGTATTTTCCGGGCTATCGCTGCTGAGTCGCACCAGCCATTAAATGTATAATGAAGAAGAGAAAATATATTTAAGTTGTAGTTTGGGGGGACATTTTATTATTTTTCTTACAAAATCTGAGACCAAGCGTTTCACATTGCAAGACAAGCACCGGTAACCATAACAGAATGAACAACAGCGCGCCATGGTCTCCAGCCAGCAGAGGAGAGGATGGCGGTGTTTCAAACCCTCCCGGCCAGCGAGGAGAGCTCATTCCTGGGCTGGAGCCGGCCCTCAGCACCCCGCCACAGGCTCCAACAGATGCTGGCGGTGTTTGAAACCCTCCCAGCGGGACAGGGGGACTCATTCTTGGGTCTGAGTCGGCTCGCAGCAGCGCGCCACGTTCTCCAGTCAAGGAAGGCGGTTTTTGAAACCCTCCCAGCGGGACAGGGTAACTCATTCTTGGGCGGGTCGGAGTCTGCCGCAGCAGCGCGGTGTAGCCTACATATTTTGTTATATAAGTCGCTCCGGAGTATAAGTAGCAGGACCGGCCAGACTATGTAAAAAAGTGCGAGTTATAGTCTGGAAAATACGGCAGTTATTAGTATTCGAGCTAAATTAGCAGCCTAAATACATTTCATATATTTCCAAAACGTAATACTTGTTTGTATCTTGTACAGCCAACTAGCCTTTATTCTGGACTCAGTACAATTCACCAAAAGTAAAGAGACATTATACAGATGAAGTAAGCACAAGATAACTTACTGGAAGACACAGAATTATTATCATGAGAACCAGAACAAGACAGCCTGATAACAGTCATGTGAAAATAACAGTTAAAAAGTATGTATGTATAATAGAAATAAAAATATATTAGAATTAGTGTAACTCACTGTGATCCAAACAATAAATCAGCCATAGCTGATTAGTAAATATGAAATGAGGTCTGGGAGTTTTTAAGTTTCATTCTTTTATTACATTTTTTTTCTGAGATCTGTTTAAATGTCACCATGGCAGCCTGTGTCTCCAACATCAGCTACACAATGCAGCAAGTGTAAGTTCCAAATACCTTGTCTTGACCACTTCATGTATGGTTTTGTACTTTAAACAATTATGACAAACCTGTTATTTTCTTCTCCATAGCCATTTGGATCATTGGAGACAGCTACGTGAGGCGTGGTGCCCAGAGAGCTGCAGAGACCGTCGGAGACAACCTTGGCCTCGCTGACGTCTGTGTCTCCTGGTTCGGTTGGGGCGGACCATCGACATACATACATGTGCCGACACTTTGCGCCCTGTTTTATAAAATGTAGTGTAAAAAATAAATGTTTTTGCTCAATTACTGGAATTTCTTTGGTTAAGACAAAAAAGTGAGGAATAATCATTTACAAGTTATTTGTACAACAGGCCCATTTTACATCCCAACAGTTTCTTAGCAGACAATAGAAATGTGTTCTTTACTAACTTTACTTGGTTTAAAAATCTTACTAAAATAAACAGAGTGCCGTATTTCAAAACCCAATCATACTTGTTATGTAAACATTAGCTTTGTAGATATTTTTTACAGATCTATATTTGTGTGCAACAAAAACCAAACTTAAATAATTTGTCATTCTTTATTGAAAAACAATAAAATACAGGTATACAGAAAGTGTGGGAAAATGATAATGTGAAAGTATTGCTCTTTAAATGAAATCCTATTTATCTATAAAAAGAAAAACTCTAAAAATGTCCTGTACAGCAACATGACAGAAGCATGTTGGTCTGTCTGTCAGAATGTGCTTAACAGATTTGCTCTATCAAGAGGAGCCTTAATGTGTACGAGGCTCCCCTTGAGTAATATTGGTTTGGGTTATGTATCGTCACATCAGCATGTAAATGCTGAACCAATCTGGAATAAAGACTGCTGATAGAGGATAAACAAGTAAATAAGAGAAAAATTAATACAACTAGGAAACCAACATAAAAACAGCAACCAGCAGCTGCACCTGTGAAGAAACATTTCTAAGAGTCATCAAGAAAACTTGGGATGAACAGCTATAAACATGTAAACCATGAACCACAAGCATCATGAACAACAAACATCGACAAGCATGTGTTCATGCGTGTGCTGGAATGTGAAGTGTTGGACTGGATCAGGTGAACTCTGGAACGGCCCCAAGCACCAGAAAACCTTGCTACAGAAAACTCAGCAAGGCCACATCCAGAACCGGGCTGACACAGGTCATGGGCCACATGGCACAGGAATCACCACCTGAAACAGAATCATTCAAATTAGAATCAAATACAACAGTTGTTCAGTATGACATCAAATGGATTTTTAAAGAAGGCAATTGATATAATGTTAATTATTTTGTTTTTTCCCCCTAAATGCCTAACGTTTTAGTTTAACATGAATATTAGTCATTCATCCCAATACAGAAAGTTAAATATTTTAAATTTTAATAGGGGAAGACTACAGGAGGGAGCGGTAAAATACAGGGGGTCCCCAGCAAAAACAAACTAAGAGTCTGATGAAACTTGCTGGTGTTCTTTCAGTAGGCCCGGTGGCAGCTCCAACGACCCAGTGGCTGTGCTTGGTCAATGTTATCGAGCTCAGTCCGGCTCGGCCGTGAACGAGCCGAGGCGACGTCGTACTCTGCTTAAGAAGAGGTGTTATTTTCCCGCTTCAGAAGAAGCGTCCAAAGTGTTTTTACACTTTCTCCGAGACATGTCACATCGCTAAGTTGTTAGCGCCGCGCGCTAACACGTCAATAGTGCAGCGTAGCCTGCTGGAGGTTTTAAGGGTTCAGATGAAAACACCCGACCTCTCAGGCTGCTCACACATCGATCTTAAGTTGTCGCTGTTGCGCTCACGCCGTAATACAGTATTAGATGCGGTAAAAGTCAGACATGAAAAAACTAAATTTTACATGAAGAAGTGATGATTAGCCTGGTGGGGGGAGGGAAACCTGGCCTAGTAAGCACTGGAGGAAACCCTGTCAAGATCGTCAACACTCATTTATCTTAATGCTACTGAAACATGTAAACCAAAAGGCATTATATCCACTGCTACCTTTCTAATTTTAAACTCAGTAACTTCACCTTGCCCAGCCTGCTCGTCCTTGCTGCCCGCCGGCTGTGATCACAAGCGACAACAGTTCCCGCTGCTTCTTCGGTAAACAGCGCCAACAAAAACAAAAGAAACTTGGGATCTTGTCGGCGTGGCAGTGGGATTTAAGGGAAACCCTGTATGCCCTATAGACTTCTCACCGAGCTGCAGTATTTCTCCGGTCAGATCTGTCTCCGAGTCCGAGAGCTCCACGAGCGGTCAGCCCACAGCAGCTAGGCGCCGCATCGGTCAGACTGCCCGGCCTGACCGCTGGGGAGTACCGGATGGAAGAATGGAGTACAGAAGTGTCCCTCCAAGCGCTCCGTCATATTTCAACCCATTTTTATCTTAAATGCACTGGGTTTTACCCTTTTACCCATCGAAATATGCCCTATTAATTATTTTACCGTATTTTACATTTAAATTTCATGGTTAAACAGTACATGCTACATGTTAAACTGATAGTTAGCTAGCTACTTCGGTAAACTCAGCTAGTTTAAAGTGACATAAAATACAAATATAGATTTTAACTTACCGAAAAAAATGAAGTGGAGACTCCTTGGATGCTCTATTAGTGCAATTAATTCCACAGCAAGTCATTTTGTCCAACAATTGCACAAAAAATATCCAAAACAGAATTCACAAGCACAGAGACTCAAAATCCCGAAACAGTTTCCAGGCCAGACCGAGGTTGTACTGAGGCCTTTCCACGGAGCTAGCTCTGTGGTCACGTGGGTCTGAGGCGGCGGTCACGTGGGTCTGATGCTCATTAATTATACAGAATTTTAGGCTTTCAATACACTTAAACAGAAGAGTGAGGAAAAAGTTCACCCCCCTCAGAGTTGTCATGAGTATAAACTAGATAATTTAGACAAAAAACATGTTTTGGTACCAGGCTGTAAACATGTTTATTTCTGCTGTGAAATTGGTATTTTTAACATGGGAGTCAATGAGGATTTGCTCGCTTCTGGTACCAGCCCCCAGCGGATGAGGGTGGAACTGCAATTTCTCTTACTTCCGGGTTGGGACCATTTTTAGAGCCGCATTGTGGGGGCTTGATGCAACCACACACTATTTTGGAGTTTACAACCCAAGCCTTTTGTCGACAATGTGAAGTCAATTTAAACTGGAACTTAGTGGGATGGCACCTGGGGTGGCCAATCAGATTCTAAGGGTGGCATGTGCTATAGGCCACTCCCTGGACACACCCCTGACAAAACTGATCTGGAAGTCACAAACTTGATCAAACTATCACTTTCACAGAGCTTTGATGAATGCAGAAGCACAAAGTCACACTGTGAACAAAGGGGGCATGTTAAAGACATGTTTTCAGAGTTGGAACTTCCGGCTGATTTCTGGGATGGGAAAAATGACCGAGAGATAAGGTGGCCCGGTCCTCTCACCTGTTGTGTCTCCATACAAATTTACACACCGACCCATTAGCTGACACACACATTCACATAACACTGGGGCTACCATTTACCATTTTCATTTATTCTTGTAAGTGTTTTCATGGTGACCCCACTGTTTTGTTCTGCCTGTGCATGTGTTGTTTATTTGATGTCTACTGTTGTCCCTCCATTCTCCCCTCCCTCTCTTTCCTTGTTTGTGTTGTATGTCTCTTTGCTCCCTGCCTGTCCACTAGGGTGCACAAGCAAAAGTGGTCCATTCTGCTTCACAAGCTACTTTTCTAATTTTACTAATGCTGGTAGTTTTGGACGACGTCTGCTGATGACATTTCCTACTGAGTTAAAACAATCAGCACAAGATAACCAAAAGTTCCGCTCAGCAGGCCTTTCCAAAAGTTCCTGAAAATGGCCCGATTAGCTTGTTCAGCCGGACCGGTGAACTGGAGACATGCATGCCGGGAAGCTCCGGTAAAATTACCCTGAAGTTCCAACAATGGAAAAAATTAGTGGTGATTTTTAGTGTTTCAAATACTTCATTTCTATTGGGTAGCCAAATTACCTTTCCAGGTCAGATATTATGACACAACAGCTTGCCGTATATGCAGCACACAACTCCTTGCTGCTGCAGATTCTTCATTTCGTGGATAATTATAAAAAATGACAGACATTTGATCTGTAATCGTCTGCATGTTCTTCTGAAGCAGCCGTTCATGCAGCTTTCACTTCCTGCTTTTCTGCAGAAGCCTCCACTCCAGCAGGTTACCCTGTGACCACCTGTGTGTCCCATGTTGTAGGCTGGGAGAGCTCAGTTGGCCTAATGGTCCAACAACTAAAAGGTCCCAAGTTCAAATCTGGGTTTTCGCAGGAGCAATTTTGCCTTTTCATGTAAAAGCTCTGGGCAGTGCCTCTTGTTGCTCCTGCTGATTGGCTGCAGGACACAAGCACTCTCCCTGCTGTTTAAAATAATTGCACGAGTTACTATTTGCAGGATTGCAATGCAAACAAGTCACTGATATTGACCACTTTTCAGTTTAAGACAGCATTTGCTTAAGATGCAGAATATCCAATTTAATTATAATACATTTGGTTTTTATTTCAATTTAATAATAATAGCTCATTATTACAGTATTGAAATATCTAAGGGCATTAAATTACAAACACACACAATAAAAAAAAGATTAAGTTTGAATCATCACTGAATTAAAACAATTTAGATGAATACAGAGCAGGTAAAAGGCATTAAGTGGGATTAGTTATTTAACAACATGGAGGAAAAGTCTATTTGCACATGTACGTTGGTCATGTGTCCTTTTTTCATTTTCACAAACAGCTTTGTTTATCTATCTACAGTCCATATTTATGTTCTCATTTACATTATAAATATCTTTATGCACCGCTGGGTGGAGTTGAGCTTAATATAAGCGTTTAGGAATCAGAACATCCAGATGAATTCTAACTAAACATGAGCTTCTGTTATAATTATTATGTGTTGGGTGATGCCTCACATTTGATCAGAAGTCCAGTTTAAAAAAATAACCTTCTCAACGTCCACCGTCCACAGATCAAAGGGATGGAGGCGTGATGGGAGTCCAGGATGAAGCCAGTCGACCATGAGGCGAAGCTTCATACTGAGCAGCATCCTGCACCTCTGTGGCTTCACTGCTGTCGTACATGGGGGAGCCAGCAGAGGGCGCTGTGGCAGAGTGTGAGAGGCTGGGATAATGACTGGGGGATCCTCTGAAGAACTGGGAGCCCAGGCTGCTGTTGTGTGATACTGGGCTCAGGGCTGAGTTACTCACAGACCACAGGCCGGCGTACTGACTGTGAACACACACACACACACACACACACACACACACACACACACACACACACACACACACACACACACACACACACACACACACACACACACACACACGCAGCTTATTTTGTGCATCATAATCATATTTTGCTATTAAAGGTGTTCAGATGTAAACGCGGGACATTTTAAGATATTTCTTACATTCTTCACAAGACCCCCCCCCCCCCCATCATATATAGTCTGCCCTAAAGTTTTTATTTAATTACATTTTGCATAAAAACAAATTAAATTAATAAAACAGATTAAAAATAAATTGCATTGGGGACAACGTTTAAAGAGGCTTTAACTTATATCTGACACAAAAAATAGCTTAGGATTTTTTTGTCCAACAGATTAAACAAATCAATCTAAATATTACATAAATTATTATTATTATTATTATTATTATTATTATTATTATTATTATTATTATTATTATTATCATCATCAATTTTCTCTTTTTTCATTTTATGTGGAATGAAGCAACGTTTTCATAAAACTTATCTATTCAGAAATATTTGAGTTTAATTTTATGTCTTCAGTTCAAATCAAACTTTAAAAAAATTACTTCGTACATTTAGAATAGATTTAAATTTTTAAGTTAAGTGTGCTGTATTTAGGTTTACATCTACAAATTTAGGCAGAACTTTAAACGTTTTTCTAAATATTTAGGTAGAACTTTAGCACTTTAAAAATTAAAAACTAGGAACAAACAGACAGAATCAATAAAAAGTGAGGCATAAAATAAAATAAACTATTGCTGCTAAATGTTAAAATGGATAAAAAGTGTGAGGATTTGATTTAAATTGACCAAGCTCAGTGACCAACCCAGGGAAATGTGTTCCAGAGACCCTGGAAAACCTGGTCACCTCAGCAATTATATTTATTTCTAGGAAGGTTGAGTAGAAACTGAGATGAAGACCTCAGTAATGAACTGATTGTAAATATTTAGATTTAGCATCATTTACAGATGTATTTCTTCTAGATCTTAAATGCTAAAACATTAGTTACAGGTTTATGAAGTCTATATTAACTTCTGAACATCCCATATGAGTCTTTTCCAGTTGCATCGCTTTTGTTCATCAGGTAATTCATTTATTTCATTTAAAAGAACAAAGATGATGACACAGACCTGGGGCTGGCACCAGAGCTGGAGTTGTGTGACATCACATTCGAGTGTGTTGGTATCTGAAGGCTGGACCAGTTATCGTGGCTGGTGAGCATCGATAAACAGCTGGAAGGGCTGTCAGAGTATCCAGCTGTAAGACGATCAAAAGCAGCAGTTTCACACATTTTCAGTATAAAACCACACATGACAGGTAAGGATGCTGAAACCGACCTCGTCTGAAGCCAAACAGTTTACTGCTCAGTGGCTCCAGTCACACAAAAGCTGGTGGAATGTAAAACATTCCTCTCCTTTCAACATTTGTTTAAGGTTCTTGTTAAAAGTTAAGAGGGGGGCAAGTCTTGGATGCATGAAAGGTGGAGGCACTCACTGGGTGAGGTGGTGCGATGGGTGTATGGGCTGGTGTAAGGGGCAGAGCGGTGGTTCCTCAGGGCAGAGTAACGCTCACAGCCGTGGGAAGGTGAGAGAGAGATGGGATTCCCAAACTGGCTGTGGGGGCTAGCGGGAGGGCAGATGGAGCCTGTTCCTGAAAGAAACCAGCTTCCCACTGCAGGAGGACCAGATGAGCACAATTACAAAAACATAAAGGAAGCTGCACACATTAGACGTCATTTAAACTTACACTGAGAGTAACCAGATTGGTGGTTTCCACTTGAATCCTCTCTAATGTCTTTGTTATCACTCCTGTGAAGAAAAAAAGCACTTCATGTCTGAAGGTTCTCGTTGGATAACACCTCTCCGTCAGCCTTACCTCTCCTTTGCGTCTAAGAAAGCCTTTGCAAATGGGTTGTGCTTGATTTTCAGCGCAGTTATCTTAAAAGATAAAACCAAACACAAGGTGGTGAGATTTAGCGTGCGTAAAATACGCGCATGTTTTACGCACGTGGATAAAAGAGTGTACTCATCCCATTTCATCACAAAACGACATGTGTTAAATTAACCGAAAAAATAAATAAATAAACGGAACCTCTTCGTTTTGATAAGCTGTCACGGCAATAAATTGGGTTTCGGTGAAGGAGTGGCTGGTGATCATCCTGCGCGGGCCTCCAACCCGCACGATGTGGATGCGTGGCTCGTACTTGTGCAAAGAATTCAACATGATCTTAAAAATATAGCAGAAGTCTTTTTAAGTGGGGGTTAAATAAATCTAGCCGACGTTTCTGTTAGAATGAAACACTTACTTGACCCCCGCCGTTGAGTTTGTTCGTCAGCTTTACTTTACCGAAGGAGACGGGCGCTTTCATCCAGTGCGCCCCGAAGTTCGGAGAGTCCGGGTGGATGTACACGCAGCTGGGGGTCTGGGGCTCGGGTTTTCCCCCGGGGACCCACTCCCCGTTCACATATTTCCACCTGTGGTTGTCGGCGGAGGAGAAGTCCAGCAAACACGAATACATGGCGTTTGGGTCCAGTCCGGACACGTTTACTTTCAAAACGGGAAACATGCGCCTTGGGGGGAGGAGAGAGAGCGAGAAAATACTTCTACACATGTCTGCTTCATCTCAAGTTTTATTTATTTATTTATTTATTTATTTAATTTTTTTTTTTAGTGTTCCCACCTGCCATTCTTGGTGACGATCATCTCGTTAGTGAGATCCTTAAACTTTTGCCAGAGCTCGCTCTCATCCAGGGACACCTTGAGCTCCTTCTCGGTGGGGTCGCCCTTCTCGCTGCCGGCCTGCAGCTCACTCTCCACCGCGCTCAGGAGGTGATCCACTCGGTACTGAGCGGCCTTGCTGGAACACTCCCCAGTCGCCATGGCGTAAAACAGCTCCAGGGCTGATTTGGAAAAACCTCCAGCTGCGCTTTAAAATGTATTTCCTTTAGTGTTTTTTCTTTCTTTTCTTTCTCTCCCTTCAGGCTTCAGTAGAAGCTGCAGAATAAATAGGTTCCATGTCAGGATGGGTGTTTGGAGAAGAGGTGGTTGGCTCCACTTTTCTTTGATCTTTGCGGGCTTGTCGCTGATTGGCTGTGGGAGGCCATATCATTGAAGCCCACAGGATGGTAGTGGTTTAAATTAAACAGTGTAACCTTCTTTATTGCATCAACCTGTAAATATTGACACTTAGATCAAAGCTCCATCTGCAGCAGGATGAACATGGCGGCTCTGCAGCTCCACGGCATTCAGAATTTTGATCTGGTAAACATTTCAACTAAAGGTTGGCCAGTTGGGGCGCATCAACCATGATTTATGTTGAGTTTATTTGGACTGTTTTTAAAATAGTTTTCACACAAACCTCTGCACAACATTTTGGGATTAAAACTGTTCTAATCTGTTTTTTCTAATTGAAGTTGTTCAAAAAGTGATGACAACAGTTAGAATTTTCATAGAAACACAATTAAATGTTTGAAACGACAATTTAAAGGTTTAATCAAACTGTTCACTTAAGCACTTTTAGGAGGATTTTCCTGTAATATTTAAAATGTTATGGATTTTAAAGAAGTGAAAATATCGACAAAAAGTGACTATTGCATTTAAGTGAAATAATTATGCATTACTATTTATATCGAAATTACACTTTCTTTCTAATAACGAAAACTGCAGGCTGCAAATAATCATCACACCTTAATTCTTGCTTGATATTTTTACTGGAAGAAAAAAAATGCATTTGAATACTTTGAAGAGGAAAAATAATTACAAAACTTTAAAGACAAGGAAAAAGAAACAAAACATGATTAATATGAATACTCCATCATCTAAATCCTATTTCTTCACAGCTTTTAAAGGAAAAAATAACTTTTAGTTCAAAAGTCAACGATAACAAGGACAATTAAACAGATGAAGTACACTGTAACAAAGGGAATGTTGAATTAACTTAAGCAATTTGTTATCTGGTTCCACAGAAGCTTGAATGTAAAGAATAATGTATGTTATTGTACTTGTTATATTAAAAGTAAGAAGTAGATTAAGTATTTTACTCTTTACAGGTTTCATGGAACCAGTTGGCACACTAAAGTAAATCCAACGTTTCATTTATTACAGTGTAATTCACATCCAAGTAGCACAGTGGCGTCATAAATAATGAGCAGCGCTGTTGCTATGGTGGCTTAAAAAAGAAAAACAAAATGTTTAAAGCAGAGATTTCTGTGACAGCTAGGTGCTAGCTTCCATGGAGCTCTGCGGTGTTGTGTTGGGGCAGGTTTGCGTCCCTGCCAGCACGGTGAGTCTGTCTCTCTGTCCAAAAGTCTGGACCAGAGTTCTCAGCAAGCAGAGAAAAACAAATCCCACTCAGTTTAACGTTGGTCTCTCTTGTTGCTATGAAACTTTCTTGAATAAACACAAACAATGCAAACATTTTACTGGATATTTTATACTCTCTCTCTCTCTCTCTCTCTCTCTCTCTCTCTCTCTCTCTCTCTCTCTCTCTCTCTCTCTGTTTTTTTTTCACTTTATTAAAAGGATTTCTGGCTGAGCGACTGAAATCAAACAACTTCCTCAAAATCAGAGGTTGCAAATGTGATTTTCTTTTCATCTGTGGGTGGCACAGCTTACAATTCTTTATCATTTCCTAATGCATTAATCACTTTGCATTTGGGAAAGAGACCCCCTTTGTATGTGAGGTGAGGTGACCTGGTGTAAAAGCCAGAGGTGTTACTACCAGTGTCATTTCCCACAGTCCCGGTGTCCCAGTCGGCACCTACGTCTTCTCCCCCAACACCCCACCAAGCGCTAACTGTCACACCAGGCTACTTCCTGATGGTTATCTTTACTTTGAATTAATGTTATTAATCAACACAATATGCCTCCTCTAGCCCTTTGACCCCTGCATCTGTAGACGAGGTATTGTTTTGAAAAGTTAAAGCACCATTCTAAAAACATGGAACACCGAAGATATTTAGTGTTAAAATCTACAAGGGACCCCCCCCACCCCCCCCGAAAATTCATTATGCTACAAAACTAATTAATCAGAATCAGAAAACCTTATTGGTCCCCAAGGGGCAATTAATTAGTAGCTTACCACAAGATCAACATTGTGAAAAACACAATCACTCACTTATACAATTCATCACACAATCACACAATGTGTGTCACTACCAACATCCCGAAAACCTCATATGTGAGCAGTAGCCCTCTAAAATGGGCACATACTTAAAGGCCAGTATTATTTAGCCACCCTTCCCGACTCAGAGCTGAGCAGTTCAATAGCCGATGGAACAAAGGAGTTGGCGAAACGGTTTGTTTTCCGATAAGGTACATAAAAACCACGTCCTGAGGGCATGAGTGAAAACTCAGAGTGCAGAGCATGGAGGGGCTGACCTAAGATACCTTTAGCCTTTTCTAGTGCCCTCTCCTCCCATAGAGACTGTAAGTCTCTTTGTTTTGCTCCAATAATTTTAGAGCAGATTTTGATAATGTTCTGCAGCTTATTTTTATCCTTCGTAGACAAGGCTTTGTACCAACAAACAAATGAGAAGGTTAAAAGGCTTTCTATAAAACAGCAACACAAGTTGCAGTTGCATTAAAGGTACAATAAGTAATAATTCTACAGGGAAATAATCACACAACAGTCATGTTGGAAGGAAGGTTACAGTAAAACAGATTTCCTTCTCAGTCGGCTGCGGGGGTTGTCGGTTTCTCCTCCTCTTCAAATGGCAGAAGAGGGACAGAGTCATTGTTTACAATCAGTCCCGCCCCCACACTTCCTGATTCCAGAGTCAATCATATTTGAGTCGTGGGGTCTCCCAAGTTTGTAATTCAATACCTGTTGGCAAAGAGCAGCAGCGCTCTGAAGAGAATGTTAGCCAGCGGCTCACAATTTATTTCTTTTGAACCCGAGAAGCCACAACATCCTTTTGTTTTACTCTAATATCGGGTGAAAAAGGCTAGAGGCTAACGATGAGCTATCGAGGAGTGGCAGCAGCTCAGGAGGTAGAGCAGATTGCCCAGTAATCAGAAGGTTGTAGGTTCAATCCTGGCTCCCGCTAGAGAATGCTGCTGTTGTGTCTGTGGGCAAGATACTTAACTGACCCTGTGGTGATCGGAGGGACTGGTGGCGCCAGTGTTTGGCAACCTTTCTTCCATCAGTGCACCTCTGGGCAGCTGTAGCTACATTGTAGCTTGTCATCACCAGCGTGTGAATGTATGGATGACTGATTGTGTTGTGATGGGGGTTGTAGAACCGCTATACAAATACAGGTCATTTACCGTCTAATAATGCTAAAGGTGATTTAGAAAAATAATAGCTGGCTGTAAAAATATGTCAAGCTACTTTTTCAGTTACCCAAAGCTCAGTTTTACCGGGAAATGTATCAGTTTACTGTGTATGATTTGCCGTGACTCGTCATCTCAACTGTTCTGGTTCTGATCCATAACCGGACTTTTTTGTTTTGATGCATGAACTGCAGTACCCGTATTTGACCACAAGATGGCAATCTTTATGCACCTTTAAGTTAACTACACAACAGGAGGAGTATCTCACACACGTCTCTTGTTATGGAGCGAATCTGCTCAGGTATGATCAGATCAACCACCCTTTCTACATAAAGTGTGAAACAAAAGCAAAACAACAAAATGTGACTAAATTCACTGTTTTATTTAATCTGCGTTAATTTAATTGAATAAATAATTTAGTCATTTATTTAATCACAATTATTTTTGCAAACAAAAACATAAATAAACTTGGAAGACTAAAACAACGCTAATACCGACATTGTCCTCAACGGACAAATGAGGAGACGAAAATTAACGATGACAAGAATCCAGTCGGAAGGAGGAAAAGATGTAAAGAAAGGACAAAATAGCATCTCAACAAATGGAATATGTGGGACTAGATCAATCAATCAATCAATCAATCAATCAATCAATCAATCAATCAATCAATCAAAGCTTTATTTATAATTATTTCCTAGATGGGAAATTAACCAATCAGAGCTCGCCTTATTAGGTGAGGCGGAGCTAGCTGCTGCCTGAATGCTCCTGACTAAACAACAGTTAATAAAATTATTCTTGTGAGTAAAATAGCTGCATCACCTTGTGGGTAAGCATGTGAGTAATACAGATATACATTTATTGTTTATTTGTTAAAGACATGCTACGATGCATGATTTTCTCCATATTAAACGTAGCAAACAAAAATAATTCTACAGATGAGTTTATTTGATTAATACTGAGAGACTATTCCAACCTGTCAGTGTGCATTTTGGTATTTTCCTGAACCAATTGTATTTAAACATTTATAAATATAATTTTATTCAACTAAAGTGTGACACATCACTATTTCCTTTACAACAGTTGAAAATTATTGCATCAGAATTTATTTTAGTTGAAAATTCTGACTTAAAAAAGACTAAAACTAAAACAAGTTGAATGACTAAATACAAAAATAATAATTGTCAAAAGACTGAAACTTGATTATAAACTTCTTGCGAAGAATAACACTTTATATAATACTGGCAGAAAAAACAAAGTCTCCTTTGTTTTTTGAATCATGTGCTGTCCCCATTGCAGCATATACAGTTATTAAGCTCTCGGAAGACTTTTCTGAAGCCTGGGCGGTATGAGCAGAGCGGACAGATCTCTGCTGCAGCTTTTAGGACGGGCCTGTGGAGGAGGATGGGCCCACATGCCTGCTGGTTTTGACCAGTTTGTTTGCCTTCCCTCTAAACTCTCCAGACCCATCCTGTTTGCTAAGGTCCATCCTCACACAAAGGTGAGAGAAAAAATGACTCATCTCAGGACTCCAGCATGATCTCTGCTGCTATTCTTACTTTTTGAATTACTAGCAGTATGTGTGTGTGTGTGTGTGTGTGTGTGTGTGT